CTACGGGGGTCTGTTTTTTCATGAGAGCCAGCTCTTCCCCCCTGTAACAGTTGGAGTTGGATGTACCTCAACCCCCAATCCACCCCGACCGGGCAGGGGGGGGGGGAGAATTCTGGGAGTTGAAGTCCACACATCTTCAAGTCACCAAGGTTGAGAAACACTAGTGTACAGGCTTCTTGAAATTAATGTAACATGTTCTCTTCATCTGAAAAACTTGAGTTATTCTCCATAGTACAGTACCTAGCAAGAAACTCAGGGAACTCCATAATTAAGTTTTCTATCTTAGGTACTGAGGTAATTTTGTTTGTCTTGACTTTTTCATGTGAGTTGTTCAGTATCAGCAGAATCTGTGGACCTTTCCAAGTTTCAAAAATAAAAATAGACAGATCTCTCCCTTAAAGTACCATCAGTTAAAAAAAAAAACTTTTAGAAAAATATTTCCAGCTTTCATTTTAAGTCACGTAGCTCATCTTTGCCTAATCTGACTGGTGGGTGCACTGGCTAGAGATGATAGGAAGTGCAGTTTAACACAGCCAATAGTTTTCAAAGCTACGCTAGAGTCTTTTAATATATATTGCTATTAAAATAAACATGTATTTATTTTATTCAAATAAATTCAATCAAATAACATTGAGAATGCTGCATTTCAGGTTCAGCTTTGATATTACTCTAATCCTAATTCTTGAGGAAATTCTCTCCTAATCATAATCCTTACTACATATTTACTCAACTGGAAGTTCAATTGGCTTTAATGGGAGTGATTCTCTTGTAAATATACTGATGTGTCAAATCTTTGGAAATCAGTCCTATTAATGCTGCAGAATTTACTTTCAACTCAACGTGCCTAAAATTACAGTGTTCCGACTGAGGAACAGCCTGTAAACACCATGAGGTATCCCCATGGAAAACTCTTCCTTATCAGAAACAGCACATAGATCTATGTGGAAATGCCGTGTGTGAGAGTCCTGCTCATGTATTTGGGTGCCTGTGGAAGGGAGCACCTTCTGGGAAACTGAGGCCAGCCCCTCCTTCAATCAGAGTGCACAGCTGCCATCCGTGTACAGCTAAGTTTGCTCAATATTTATTACACAGAAGTCTTTCCTGTGAAAAAATGTAGTCACGGCTTGAATCAGCTCTGTCTGTTCTCTGTTTGAGGGCTGGTGTCTATATTTGGGGCTGTATAACAGTTGGTGATTCAATCATGGTCTAACCCAAAGCGATATAAAATATTTTGAATTCTTCATCTTTTTCCTCCTGTCTCTCTCTCTCTTTGGCTCTGAACGCCAAAGTGTTAGCTCTCTCTCTCTTTCTCTGTCTCTCTTTCATTTTCTTTGCAAAGATTCTTGGTTTGAATGGATTCTGAGTTTGCTCCCATGGTGGTCTGATAGATTTTCAATTTCTTTTTAATTCTTGGTCATGCTGTCTCTGGACTTCTAATGTGTTAGATACCTGGTCTTGGAACACGTCTCAGGAGGTGAACTTTTCGATTATCTGGTGAAGAAAGGCCGTCTCACACCCAAGGAAGCCAGGAAGTTTTTCCGACAAATTGTCTCAGCTTTGGATTTCTGCCACAGCTATTCTATATGGTGAGTTGACTGTTGTGCTATTATGGGCTGTTACAGTATCTCGTTTTGTTCCTGCAGGAAAAGAAAGAAAAACATTTTTCTTTTGGTTTATTTTCCTCTATTGTCTTCTGGGTCCCCCCCCTTTGTTATTTGTGTTCTTATTGATTTTTTTATTGTGTCCATAGTTTTTATACTACCAGCCACATTGAATTATCATTGATAAAGAAAATCAATACTTATTATAGTAATTATTGTTCCCTCTCCTATCTCTGAGTCCTACTGATAATTGAAATGCCAATTCACTCTTTATTAAAGTACATCTCTGCCTAGGTCACCAGATGATCATTGGTTCCTTATCCTTTAATCACAGCGTGATATGTAAATATTGGTTGCTGGTGCTTTTTCTGGCAAAATGTAATATCTGATAAATGCAATGGTTTTCAGTCTTTCATATTTTAAGTCCCATCCAAAGGTCTAAAGTCAATTGACATTTCAATGACTTATCCTACATCCCATCAAGATTACTCCTCTGATGTGTGTGCCATTGGCTGAGAATCACTGTGTTGTACTAGCAGCTGCACATCAAGATTCATTTCAAAGCACAGGATCAGGAACCAGTAGATAAGGAGGTCTGTTAGACCACCTCTACTCATATCATCTGGCATATTCTGCATCTGCTTCAGGATCTTGCTCATAGGCCTATCAGTCAAATCATGGAGAACATGAGATGCAGTCATCTTGACAATGGCCCCACGGTTTTATAATTCCCTTCTGACTGAAAAAGATCTCACTTGTTTGATGTAGGCATCTAAGTAAGCTCTGAAGTCTTATCTATTCCCAGCTTCATTTAACTAAGGATGTACTGTATATAGCTTAACCCAGTAGTTTTCTGTTGTTTAGATAATTTCTGTTGACTCATGTTGCTTTGTAAAAGCATATCTCTGAAAAGTGGGTTATACATTTTTTGAATTTATGAATACATAGTTGGGAACAAATAGCAGATAGCCCATCAGAAACAAACGCTTCCAACCCAATAAATTTAGTAAAATTACAGTTCTAGTTTGCAGCTTCATCGAGGAGGAAGAATAGATGAAAGATTGAAACGAGCTAACTCAGCACCCTTGGGTTTAATAATTTCAGAAGTTTTTAATCCAAATACATAAGACTGCGGTCCTTGTTCTATAGAGAAACCTGTTGACTTTTAATGATCCAAAAAAAAAAAAAAAATTAGCAAGCAAATCTAGAGAAATAACCTGAAACATCTGGTGTATCTAGGATGTGTTTTCAGGCTAACAGTCTTTGGCTCTGTCTGTATGACATTCTAACCTAGTGCTACCAAATCTGAGTCACAAAATTCTAGACGACCACTCTTGCTGCCATTTAATATTGTTTAATATTGTAATATGACTCTAGATCTGGTAGTCCTACCTAAACTCATGGTTTTTTTCCCCATAGTTTCCTAAATTTACCAAATTTTATTGGACACATGGCATCATAAACCATCAACATAAATTATAATACAGATTCGCATGACATGCTAGGATAAACTGTTGTTTGTTTGTCAGCATTATCATGCAAACACTGTCTTATTCCACTGTGTCCAAATCATGCTAAAGGGCATAAGAATGCAATAGATTTCATAGCCATAAAGCCACAAGCCATACAGTATTCAGTAGAGCACTTGTGTAGCACTTAAGCAAGCAAACAAAAAACCCTCGATCGGTACTTTGGCAGTGCTTAAAGTGTGGAAGAAAAGTATTTAATTCTGATCTAATTTCCCCCACTGGGTTGAAAGCCATTCATGTACCAACTTCAGGAGATTTAGTGGTACAATTCCACGCATGTTAATGTATGTGCCTGCACATGTGGCTCTGCCACTGACCTGTCTCCATGGGTTTTGTTTGGACCCCTTCAGCCACCGAGACTTGAAGCCTGAGAATTTATTGCTGGATGAGAAGAACAACATTCGGATTGCAGATTTCGGCATGGCCTCCCTGCAGGTCGGAGATAGCCTGCTGGAAACAAGTTGTGGGTGAGTCATCCTCAGAACAGGGTCTTGCTGTTCTGTGATGCTGAGGGAGGTGGGAAGAAGTTAGGCACATGGCTCCTTGAATGGGTTGCCTCACACGTTATTGCGGGAATACCAGTGTGTTCAATGTGATGGACATGTAAAATGTGAAATGGGAAGGAGATGTATGTCTGGGAACCTAGGTAAGCTGACCTGTGACTTTAGACAGAGATGTGTCTTGCCTTCACACATTATGATTGTCATTGAAATGTAAATGAGCCAGAAACATCTGCTGTTACTTAATATTTGAAATGTGAATTGCTCCTCTGCCTGCAAACAGAGAGGCAAATTCATGAGAGATCTGCTATAAGTAGAATAGATGAAGTTTTCCACCAATGAAAATATAAATCATTCCTTCTTGGCTGTGGAAACCCTCTGCATAGCATCCTCCCATTCAAACCCAATTTATGGTCTTATTATCTACTCAGGGGATGAGATTTAGAGGTCTGCTAATAGTTGTAGCCAACAGCACCAACCTTCTGCACCATTCCTTAGTGCAGATATTTCCAAAATGGCCAGGGTGGCCTTGTCATTTAATTTGCAGATCCTTGGGCTAAAACATGGACCAGCAAGTTCTAGCAAAAGAAAAGCCCTGACCTATTTTGTGAGAAGGTCTTCCTTTTTTGTGAGGAAGCCTCCAATCTCATCACCCTACCAGATATGAAGTTAATCATATTTGTGTGACCAGGAACATGTGTACTGTATGGGGAATTGGTTTCAGTCTGGATCAGCATCCTCTTGGTTACTGTATGGCAATGGTGGCACTTTTCTTCTTAAAACAAATGGCATCTGTTGGGGAAGCGCATTTCGTAGGGCCAGAATCTGTATCAAGATTTCCCCTCCTCCTCATAGCTTCAATTTCCTTTAAAAAAATCATTCCCACAATTCCTAATTGTGTAAATGTCAGATTTAGCTTTGCCTCCAGACTTTCGAGTTAGGAGATAAAAATTTCATTTCATGGCTCTCTTTGGCCTCAAAGAAGGATATGATTGTCTGTAATGGGAAGGAAGGAAAGATCCTACCACTTCTAGAGAGATGGAGGGGGGAAGGCTGTGGGGAAGTTGATGAAGAAGCTGCTTGTGCTAGATGTGGAACAGCCTAGAATGGTTTTCTCCAGCCCAGATGTGTTGGACAGCAATTCCCAGAATTCCCATCTTGCAGGGTAATTGGCCACTCCAGAATTGACTTGAGGATGCCAAGGAAGGTTTGTCCTGGCACCTGAAACCACCAAATATCTAAAGATCAAGGATTCCCACAACCCATCCTAGATTAGGGAGGGGTGGTATATCTCACAGGCTTCTCTCCACATGCTTGTTGAACCCATGGTCCTATGGGTTAGCTTTCTTTGGCGTTTCACTCTTCCTGTCTCTCTGTCTTTCTCTCTTTTCTGCCCCCAATGCTGGGCTGCAGTTCTCCTCACTATGCATGTCCAGAGGTGATCAAGGTAAGGATTCAGGCCTAGTGCCCTCCCCTTATCCCTGTTGGTATCTGATTCCCTCCTCTCTTGTCCAGTGGATCAGGGCAAGGAGCCCCCTGCTTTAACCTGCCTCATCCTACTGGCCCCTCAGTTGGAACAATTTGCTTCAAGAATAGGTCCAATGGGAAAGACAGTTGCAGGAGAAACTATGGAAAGTGGTAGTTGGAGGGAGTAAGGGCAAGTTTTATACACACACACTCACATGCATCAGGAAAGGGTAACTTCTGGCCATCCGGATGTAGCAGAACTACAACTCCCATCATCCATCCTTCACCTTTGGGACTGCTGGGAGTTGTAATTCAAAAGATCTGGAGGGTCACCCCATATCGTAAAGACAAACATGCCTAAGTTTCGCAGCATGACACTGTATTTCAGACAAGTTTGTTGAAGAACTCAAACAAATATTTTTAATAATTTAAATAACTTATATTTGTTTGAGTAGCAATGCATCTCAGAGCAGATGTAGAAGGTGGAAGCCAAATCTTTTTAAAGTTCTAATTGTATTCTGTTAGTTATTCTAATGAACATGTACACATATACTGTAGGTACCTTCATACACTATGTATATGTATAATTCCAGAGTCACGAAATACTATACTTGGTTCAGAAAATTTATACTGCTTTCCTTCTCCCAACTAGTATGGATATTTTGAAGCTAGAGGAAAGAAACTCTATCCGTTCTCAAGAAGGTTGCTGGGGAACTCAATCCTGTTTGTTCAAGTGTGTGTGAATGTTTGTGTACATTTGGGAAATGTTAGGTAGACTCCTCGCCATACGCTGAAATTTAGATCCTGCTGGGCAACAGCACTATCCTAATTTTTTAAAAAACTGGAAAACCAATCACAGGAAGTAAGAGGAAAAGAAATCTCCAGATCCACAAGGTATATTAAACACAATACATTTTAGAACAGATGGATCTCCAAAAGATGTCAACGTAGTATATGATGATAAGGTTTTGCAAACTTTCCTCAATCAGAAAATAAACTTTCCCCTGAGTATCTGGAGGTCTCTTCCCCTTATCTCTCTTCCCCAATTGGACACAGTGAAGAGAAGAACTATTATTTTAATATTTCTTTATTTCATATTATACTCCAGCAATAGTTATCTCCCTTGTGGTTGCTCTTAATGCTTGGAAAAACCTCCTGCCCTCACTTCTGATTTCTTATTTTCAATTGTTTCCTGAAATCTTCCCCCTTCTCTCCCCAAACCAGTTTTCAAGCCCCAAATCTCTGCTTCTTGCTCCTTAGGGGGAGAAGTATGATGGACGTCGTGCTGACATGTGGAGTTGTGGTGTCATCCTCTTTGCCCTCCTGGTGGTAAGCCTGTCCCAGTAATAGACAGAGTCTTTGCTTACTCCTGGCAGGGAGCATTTAACCCGCCATTTAGTGCTGCTGTCTAGTCCCCAAGGCATCCATTTTGACTCCTGAGGGAGGACATCCAACTGTGTGTATTATTTTTCCTAACTGGTTGAGCCAAGCCAAATCAATCGCCTGAGATTGGGTGATCTCCAGTACTGCGGCGACATGTTGTCACTGACAGTGTTCTACTTCAGGCTGCCATAGAAAATAACAGGAGGGTTCATCATCATCATAATTATTTTTATTATTATTTATTACATTTATGTGCTGCCTGGCTCCCGGCAACTCTGATGGTTGTCCTGAGAAAGTTTGACATGAGGGAGGTGGCAATGGAAGGGGAAAAGAAAAGTTAATGGAGGAGAGGAGGGCAAAAGGACCAATGTTACACACCTTCATATTTAAACATAATGTTTTGACATTTAATGTTAACCCATGGGGTTCCTACAAAACCTTAAATCTGAGGGGGGTTCCACTGTGGCTCAGTTTCTTTCACCCTTTTCTCCTGCAGGGGGCACTACCCTTTGATGATGACAACCTACGGCAGCTGTTGGAAAAAGTGAAACGTGGGATTTTTCACATGCCCCATTTCATTCCGCCAGACTGTCAGAATCTCCTGCGGGGTATGATTGAGGTGGAGCCAGAAAAACGTCTCAGTGTGAGTCATCCTATCATTCCCAACGCTGAAGGAATGGAGGCAGCCGCATGCTTAGATGGGTGGGATGGAACAGGATGGAGCTCCTAGCAACCCCTGATCCAATGCATGCAATGCTGGAGGGCCCTGGACCTCTGGCTAGTATCATTTCAGATTGCAAGTAGGAGTTGTCACCTGGGGATGGGCTGCTCTTGTATATAGCAGTAGAATAGTGGTGGTCATAAATATCGCACGACAGTGAGAAGGTTTAGCTTAGAATTCTTCCCTGAGATGGTAGATCTATTATCTGATTTGATTGAAATTTAATTCGGACTTAATTGAAATAATTAAATGCTGGTAACATTATTCTTCTCCATGTAGCTAGAACATCCTCTTGTAATTTAAACATTATAATTTGATAGCAACTTTTGGAAAGGCCAAATGAGGTTTCAAGCAGCCACCTCATTGTGCAATTCTGCCCTACACAGTATATTTCCGCTTCCTGCCTTTAAAAATTGAATCTATTTTAAAACTCAATTAATGTTTATGTTTATTCTAATATACTGAATGTCTGAAGATAAGGACATCTTATTATTAAAACATGTTTTAATTATGAGTGATAGCGATGGCTACAGCAGTCATGGTTTGTGCCTGTTTTTTAGATTGATTTTTGGGAAAAGGAGCTAATGTTGGTTTATTTTTCTCCATGTGGTGGCTTTAGCTGGAACAGATTCAGAAACACCCGTGGTTCTTGTGAGTATTTCCAGATTGTATTTGATTTCCAGCTGATTCTCTCTTCCCTTGTTTAAAGAGATCTCAGTATTGATCAAGATCCCAATATTTTCTGCCTTCATTAAGCAGAGGTGAGGGATAGTCTCATAGAGGAGACAAAACCATGAGCAGAATTCAGAAATTCCCGAGTCCCACTCCACCATTGTCATCATTGTCTAGATAGGGGCGAACCCCATTGTGGTTCTTCAGAAGTCAAGAACCCCAGCCAGCATGACCAACAGGAAGAGATGCTGGGAGTTATCGTTTGCCAAAAGATATTTCCTTGGCTTCTGAGCTTCCATCTTAAATGTTTTTAAATTAAACTCTCTATCTGTGAGAGCTAAAAGCTTTAGTAATAACAAAAGTGAATAATTGTATTTATTTAGCTATATCTGAGCCATAACTATTCTAAAACATTGATATAGAATAAAAACAAACAAGCTTTGCATAGATTTGTTTAGATTATGGGTTCATGAAAAATCTACTAAACAATATATAGACTGTTATGATCTATATAGTTATTAACCATTGGAAAAAAACCTACCAGGTGCACAGACGTGGTCACACAGACACAATCTTTGGCAAGCTTGCTGTGCTGCATAGACTTAACCCACCTTTTCCATTAATATATATTTCTGTTCTTGGGAAGAACGTACTTCAGTGGCAGAGCACGTGCTTCTGATTTCAATCTCCTCCATGACCAGTTAAGCCTCAAACCCAGAAGAGTTAAAATCATTAATGCTTAAAATAACTAAAGGTGCCTTATCTTACTGCTGCTTTTGTATGCTGGTTTGGATATTTTTACAGAAAAGCAACCTACAAATACTGTAGATAAATCAGTGAACCAAACCTATTTGTAACATTGCTTCCACCTCCACTGTGAACCCCCGAAAATGAGTCCTTTTTGACAACGGCTTTTGCCAGAGCTCTTTTATCCCACTACTCAAGATTTCAATAGGGTAGTGTCTTCCTTTTACCTGATTTACACACTTCCTCTTCTTCCAGGGGAGGTAAGAATGAACCAGAGCCGGAACAACCGATCCCTCGGAAGGTAGCGATCCGACGGATTCAGTCAGTCAGTGAGCTGGACCCTGACGTGTTGGATAGCATGCACTCTTTGGGCTGTTTCCGTGACAAGAACAAGCTGAAGCAGGAGCTGCAAAATGAAGGGTGAGGAAGTGGGTGTGTGGTTGAACGGGGCAGCAAGAACCTGCCTTAAGCTTTGCTCCTTGCGCTGCAAAGGTGCAGTGTTCTAGTCCTTTTCGTGGGATTTTAAAGAGGCAATTTGTGCCTGCGTTGTAGGAATGGTGCTTCTGTAGACAAGCTGGGATAATCATCTCACCACGATTGAGCAAACTGGCAGAGTGCAATTAGGGTGGATGTGCTGTAAGAGAAGGAGTCTGATGAAGGAGGAGACAGAGCTGAGGTTTGGTTTGTGATGGAAATGTGGATAGAAGGCAGGGCAGCTAGGAAACATGTGTAAATAGATGGAGAGGGGAAAAAATGCACCGTATCTCTTCTATAGCCAGGCAATAAACCCACCTTTCTTCTCAGGACACCCCCCGTTTTTTTTCCTGTCTCCATTTCATTTTTTAATATAATTTTTATGAAGAATGCTAAAAAGGAAATAGAAACTAACGAGGGGTAATATAAAGTAAAGAAAAGAAAGAAAGGAAAAGCAAAAACAAAGAAAAAGGCAGAAGTGCAAAAAGAAAGAATGAAAAGAAATAGAAAGGAGTAACTTCTGATTTTCTTTACAGCAATTATAAGTACAAATACAAAATTACCTCTCACTCTATGGTTACAAAAAGAAAAACTCTCTTTTTTCTAATAATCAAAACCATAAATCGTAAGTGCATTTCTTTCCATTTCATGCAAAAAGTCTATAAGGGGTTACCAATCAGCAATAAACATAGATATTGTCTTTTCTCTAATCAAGAAAGTCAGTTTAGCCATCTCTGCAAGTCCCATCGTCTTCAGCAACCATTCCTCAGTTGTGGGTAGTGTTAAATCTTTCCATTTTTGTACATATAATAATCTCGCTGCAGTTATCATATATAAAAACAAAATTCCATGACTTTTTTCTAGCTGTTTGTCCATCAATCCCAAAAGAAAAGCCTCTGGTTTCAATTCTATATTAGTCTTTAAGATCCTCTGAATTAGTGTATGTATCTGTACCCAAAACTGTCTAGCTTTTTTACATGTCCACCAAACAAGATAAAATGTCCCTTCACATTGTTCACATTTCCAACATAATTTTGAAGTACATTTATACATTCTAGACAATTTCTCTGGTGACACATACCAATGATACATCATATAATAAAATTATTTTAAGATTATAACTGTGTAAATTTCAACCCTTTCAACTACATTTCCCATTGTTCCATTTGTATATTATAACCAAAGTTTTTAGCCCATTTCATCATACATTCTTTCACTTGATCTTCTGTTTCAAATTTCAATAAAAGTTTGTACCTTTTGGCAATAACATCTTAATTTCTTTATTTCAAACTCAGTCTTACATTGTTCAAAACCATAAATTCTTTTGTCTACTTTAAACCTTTCTAATAATTGTACATAAGAAAACCATTGACAAGTATATCCCTCTGTTACCAGATCTTCTCTTAATTTTATTTTACATTCCCCTGAAAAAATTGAATATGTCATGATAAGTTAACCATTTGTATTGGCTTATCATTTCTCATCTGTAAAATGCTTCTTGTGCTGAAAGCCACAAAGGTATTTTCAGGCACAATGTGGATTTGTATCTATTCCATATTCTCAAAATGGCACATCTGACCTAATGATTTTTAAAATCTACATTAACCTTAGCTTTGTCATACCACAAACATCCATGCCACCCAAATCTCAGATTGTGTTCTTCTAACTCCAAAAGCCTTCTATTTCTCAG